CTCAATGACTAGCTACCTAATACACATAGGCTTACAAATATATTCTAACCTAATACACCTAACTTTAAAAATCTTTAATTGCAACCTTTACTCTGTCTGCTAGCGCGATGTTCGTTAGAACAAAGACATTAAACTCAATGGCTAGCTACCCAATAAGTATAGAGTTGCAATACACTTAGTTCAATAAAAATATTATTAAATTAGTTTAAATCTGAAATAATTGTAACCTTCAGCACATAATAAATATTTATTATTAAATGAAAAATTAGAGTTGATTCGGGTTTATTAAAAAAAAAATAATTTTAAAATCTTTGAGGTTTAAAATATTAATTGACATTTATTTCCAAAATAAAACAAAAAAAATAAAACATCATTATTTAATGAACAAATAAATTTAAAAATAAAAAGATTCATCAAAACAAAATTCACTATAAAATTATTCTAAGTTCTGTTTAATTTGAAAAAATATTCTAAGTCCAAATTAAATCTCAAGTAGAGTGTCGCAGATTTTGTGTATTTTAAAATCACCGAAAAAATTGATTTTAATAGGAAAATGGGTTTTTATAATAGACGAGGGTCGTGTAGTGATCCCTAGTGTGATCTTGGAAACTGTAAATCTTAATTAATAGTTAAATGCGATTGGCTGGACTTAATTGAGAACCCACACATAGGTATTAATTTGAATCTGTGCAATAATTAGATTTAATTCTTTAATTTATTGATTATTTTATGTTTTAAATAGGGAAATCCTGTTTTGGTGATTTTGTGAATTCATAATATATGACATACATGTACAAAAGATAACATAATATAATATTATAAGTGATAGTGTAATATTAAAGGTAGGTCGCGTCTGTTATATTTAGTCGTTATTGATATAATTCGTTCTGAAATCTTTTTTAAATATCATCTCGACTATATTAAATAAATATAAAAGTACAAAATAATTTGTAATTCTTTGTAATTACAATTTTTGATAGAACATGATTTGTAAACGTTATATAAATTACTAGGCTCCGCCCCAGACCCGGAGCCCTACGAGCCGTCATCATAAGTAGGCCACTGATTCCGGTAGGGGTACCCGGCTACGCCGGGCACGATAAGTGTTTTGTAGAAAAAATATAACATCAGAATCAGTGTAACAAAAATATTATTATTAAAATCAGAAAAATTTAAAAAGAGAATATAGTAAAATGTATTGAGTATAAGGTTGACGTTTTTTAAAGAGGTATTCCCTTTAGGCCTATTCAAAAATTATTTTAGGAGGGTATTTAATATTTTTTACTTTGTTAAACATGTTATAGAATTTAAAAAAATTTAATTTTGATAAAAATATTGGTAACTGCGATTTAACGTTGGACAACATAGTTGTCAAAGATGAATCCCAATTTATACGATAAACTCATAGACTCATACATCATATATGAGAAAAAAAAGATTATTAATAATGTACTGTTCTGATAATGAAAGTACAAACTTATATAATTATAACCGTCTTGAAATTTATATATAACATACATTATTACTCGATAAAATATAGTGTTATGTGCAAATGCAAAATAGTGTCCTAATAAAAATACATATTTCACCATATAACTAAGTTTCATAATAAACGTATGAGTAGAAATGAATCAATGCGCATATTAAAACCATGCGCGTGAACTTAAAAAAAAAAAAGCTCGTAAAACAATGAAAAATGAATAAATTAAATTAATTTTTTTATCATATCTCAGGAATGTCATTGGGCGGGTCTGATGAAAATTTCAAACCTTTAGCCGTAAAACTCTGGCGTCAGCAAGCGTTTTTCTCGAAAACGGTCGAAATTTTAAAACGGGAGTCAGCGAGCGGCAAAAATTTTTCGACTTTCGCCAATAATTTTCCTGGAGTCTGGTGACCGAGTACCTTCATTGAAAAAAAAATTTTTGAAAATCGAAGCACGCTAAGTAATTTACCCAGAAAAACGTTTTAGCTTCGATGCGAAGCTGAGAAGGTATTGGTTTTACTATGATGAGTTTTTTTTTTTTTTTTGTGTCTGTTACCACTTTTTCTCAGCTCTCACCGAACGGATTTCTTTCAACGATACGTCAAAAGATCACAAATCGTATCTAGTCGAAGACATTACCCTTAAAAATTGAAAAAATTTCTCTCGTTCCCCGTAAATGGGGGAAACCTCCAAAAAAATTACAAATTTAAAAATCGCTTATTTTCAAAATTTTTTGAATTTTTTTTACTAAAAACTGCCGTAACTTTTTCAAAAATGAACATATGAATATATTTTTTTTTTTTATAGATGTTTAATGTCTTTACCTATTATTTGGTATATTTTTTTGTAAATTTGACCTTTTTTCTGCCCACAGGGGGGGATTTAAAATGACAACTTTTTCACAAAAAATTAACTTTTTCAACTTAACTTTTGAAAATATTCCGGAAGGTCTGATACTTTTATATATATATCTTAAATTAAAGCTAATGTAATGTACTTTAAATTGAAAAAAAAAATTTGACTTCTAGACTTGTCTTCATGGTGAAAACGGCTACCGAATGCAATTTTTTTATGAGAAATAATATTTTTTAATAAACCTTTTTTCATTCGACATACTTTATCTTAATCGAGATATTAATAAGGAACCAGCAGATCAAGTAGCTTTTGGAATAAAACACCAATTTTTTTAAAATTAAACACTATCTAAAGATTTGCATCGAAGCGTTTATTTTTGATGATGATTTTAATCACTGTCAGATATCATTATACTTGATCCAACTATGCTACGTCACCACTGTGCCGCGACCCCCCTGTGCTGGGTTTTTTTCCTTGTTCTATTATATAATAAGATTTAACGTAAAATACAATTATAATTTACACATAAATTACCGTGTTTGTACACATATTTTTCACTCGAGCCTATTAAGTTATATCACTGTATATCATTCAATAAAGATAAGTGATATAAATCATAATGTTTGAACGGAACGCCCGGTTATAATGTGCGGGTTAGTTAACGTTCGGTTGAGTTGTCTAATTATGCCGGAGAAAGAAATAGCGAGTGGACTGTATATAAGATTGAGGATGGTATTTACACTAAATAAAATTATACGAATTACATGACAAGGAGTTATATATTAAAGTAACAATATATATATATATAAACTATCATAGAATTGTGGATTGGGGGAGTGTCACTTAATACTAAAATGGCCAACAAGGCATCTCTGAACAAAATAGATAAAATATAATATAATAATTACAAACAAATAAAAACTTAACTGTGTAACGTACAATAGATGAAAGATGATTGGTGACGGTGAGAAATGAACAGTTGGAATACTTTACATTAAAATGTTGAAGACTACAAGGGTAGTCGATACAAACGGAGGCACTTGTTATGTACACGAAGGGCGTACAAAGGCATAGACTGGTATAGCAATTCTATACCCACGACGAATCACCAGGGTGGTTAATCCATTAAAGCGACTATGAGCTAGGTGCACCATAGAACCACGTAGCAAGGGCTAGCAATGGTGGCGAGAACGCAAAACTCACAAAAGGGACCGATAATAGTTTGGCGAGACACAATAATCACGTACACTAGCATCCAACGTAGTGACTAATCCCTCGCACAACCGGTGGTGGCAGCGCGAGTGGCGCTATCAGTCACAACAAAATCTAAGAAAAAACGCCCTCTTGTGATGCGTATCCAACACATAATACGTTTGTGTTATTGTTGTATTACTCAACGGTGTTCTTTTGTTCGAAACACATACAAACACCAAAAGTTGAAAAAGTTAATTTTTTGTAAAAAAGTTACCATTTTGAAACCCTTCCTGTGGGCTGGTAAAAGATCAAATGTTTACAAAAATATATAAAATGATAGGTAAATACCTAAGGTATCTATAAAAAAAAAAATTATATTGATTCGGTCATTTTAAAAAAGTTTAAATTTTAAGTAAAAAAAATTGAAAAAATGTCGAAAATTAGCGATTTTTAAATTTGTAATTTTTTGGGGGATTTTCTCCATTTACGGGGAACGAGGGAATTTTTTTTTCAAAATTTGAAGGTAATGTCTTCGACTAGATACGATTTGTGATCTTTTGACATATTGTTCATCAAAATCGGTCCATCCAAAATTAAGCGTATACAGACACAAAAAAAAAAAAAAAGCACATCATAGTAAAATTAATACCTTCTCAGCTTCTCATCGAAGCTAAAACGAGTACTCAAGTAAGAAGGACCACATATGAGTTGAGCAATAGACAATGTATATTTTTTCATGTTTGTGGCGTATATTGCTTGTTAATTACGGTAGTGAATTTGGTCTTGTATGATAATTTTATTGCATACTAAATATTTGTCTAATAAACTAAAAAAAAATTTATTTTATTCAATGTATGAAATAAAATAAATATAAATTTATATATATTGTCATGCTTAATTTGTTTGATCCGACATCAAACACTTCAATAACATTTTATCAAATACAGATAATTAAAACCCATAAATTTTTATACAAAACAAATAATGAAAGTTACAGAATATTCAAAATTTTCAGTTTCAGTTGTTCGAAAAACAGTCATCAAAACAAAGCTAACATTAAACTATACATTTATAGATATATAATCTAACTATTCATTATTATTATTTTCTTATAAAATAATAGTGTTATATGTTCAAATTTAAATTATTTTCAGTGGTTATTATTAAGTTAAATAAAATAATATACCAAATATATTCCCAAATATTCTTGAAAGAAACTACTCTTATTAATACAGGATTTAAATAAAATTTTTATCAGCATAATATTGGACATATAATAATACAATCTACATACCCTGTAAAAATTTAATTGTAAAATAAAAATAAATCGCCATAAAAAAAAAGATTTATATTCTTTATACACATTTTTTTACCAACTTTTTAATTTTTTATTTAAATTTTTTACCAAAATTTTTATAAAAAATAACAATGAACACATTTACATATTTTCATTTTAAATCTTCTTTAGTTTTCGACTAGTCATAATTAATATTAGCATTTTATTTTCAATGGAATTTTATTCGTTGATTTTAATGTCTATTGGAATTTTCGTTATAAAACTAGATGAAGGTGTAAATTGCATTTGTAATTCTCTTACCAATTATCGCGAAGATTATAGAAATTACATCAAAACAGTGATTAATCACATTTGTTCACATATTGAATCGAATGAAATACTAAATCTAAAATTGATACAAGATTCAAATAGTGCTATTGGTATAGAGGAATTTTCCAAACCTGAAACAAACTATCATAATTTCAAAACTAATTATTTTTATACAATAAGTCTACTAAATTTCAAGTACACTGAAATACTAAAAAATTTTCTCGATTACATAGATGTTATTCTACAAAAGTGTAAGCAATTTCATGAAAGAAATTTAGAAGAAAATTTTATTTGTTGTGTAACATCACTCGTTGAAGAGGTGAAAAATTCTAAGATTATGTTTGAAAATCTTCACAATGCTATGAATTTTTTTAGCTACATTGATGTAAGATTTGTGTTCCAAGGATCTACTGTGCCAAATGTTATTAATAACGAAATCAACTTTTTTCTAAAATACGTACTTCAAAAAATATCAGAGAACAGCCGTTTAGATCTTAACAGACATTTTGATTTGAACTGCTTACCAAATTTTCATGACTCTGAAATGAATTTTATGAGTTTAAATGAATTTCGTACAGTAGCATCAAAAATAATAAACAATCTCTATCAAAATAGTAATATCATCGACAATTCTATAAAAAATAATTCGACAATAATTCAAATTAATGAAGATGACTCTTACTTTGTCTATTTAACATGTAGTAAACTTAAATCGTTTTATAATAAAAACATAGAAATTTGGTATAAGAAACTTGGCTTTGAAAAATTTTTCAATCCCAAAACACCCGAGTAAGAATGCCTATATTTATATTTATTTTCTAATTTTATTTTAGAATATAAATGACTTAATATGTTTTTTGAAAGTATATGAAATTTAAATTTAAAGCTTACATCATGTTTTAGTTGGACAATTTAGAAATTGCCTTATAATAAATGTAACATAACCTGTGTATAAATTTGATAAAACCGTTTTTTTTACAAAATAAACAAATTTAATTATGATCAGTTTGATATCCTTCTTTTCCGATTTTAACATGCTACAGAAGGTTGTGACACCTTTTTCACATTTAGGGAGTCAATTGTTCTTGGTTAAGCTAATGGTGGATGGGATATGTATTATGTCCGGCTTGCACCACAGACAAGACAATACCAATGAAAAAATCACAAGGAAAATCTGTTTAGCATCATAGGGATCGAACTCAGGACCACATTTGCCGAAAAATTAGGTTATAACCACTAGGCCGGCGCCATCCCTATAATGAACAAACGAAATATGATTGTATATTCTTAATTGTACATTTGTAATAATTATATACAAGTATTATTGTTATAGGAATATAATATGCCCGTTAAAATAGTGGAATTTATTAAAAAAAATTACGTTTTAATAATATTCAACGATATTATTTATTGTTGTCATTTAAAATCATTATTAACGGCATTTGATATATTGAGTAAGTTTTTAATGACGGTTTATTCACATAAATATCTCTTTTTGTGAATAACAAATATTGAGCTCAAACTTTTTCATCTCAAATTACCAAAATTGTTAATAAGCTCATAGAAATCTATTAAAAATATTTCTTTTCTGAAATTCTATGTTTCTCCTCGATAATTTAAAATTATGATACAAATCTATACTTTTGACCATATTAATTATGTTAAACTTAATGAAAATAAAACAATTACTCATATTAGAATATTTAAATTTATTTCATCTATAGATTTCATTAAAAATTTTAATATTTTTATTAATATAGACTCATACCTCCAGTAGATCCAAATATTAATATAAATGTGGCAATTAAAGCATTGAATATACTTCGACAAGAATCGGGTTGGAAAACAATGGAACACATAAATATAGTTTATAACGAAAAACTATTTAGCGTAGATTCTATTATGAAAGACCCAATTGATAACAAGAATTTTCAAATAAAAAAGGAACATGTAACACAATTATTAAGATGTAGATACACAGAAATAATTATAAATTACAATATAATATTAAGAGTTATATTGTATCTATGCAATATTTATGCAAATAATTTCAACTACAATTGTTTGATTAAATTCTTTGACTCATTCAACAAATCTAAAATAATGTTCGAAGGTCTGCATACAGCTTTAATGACTATACAGAAAAAATCATTATGGAGTTTTACTTTTTGGTCTCCTTCGAATTTACAAAAAATATTAAAATGGGTTAACAATTTTCTTTGTTTATTGAATAACAAAGAATTTTTTCAAGATATTTTTAACAATAAAAATAAAAAATTCAAGGAAATTATAGACAATAAATTAAAATATTTTCTAAATTTTCGTAGAAAATGTTTTAATTGTCTTAGTACGGAATCTAGAAAAATGAAATCCCGTTGTAATATGAAAAAACCTTTTTATGATTTATCCAAATTAATAAAATATTTCAAGTCTTCAAAAAATACGATGAATATTCCAACGTTTCAACTGTCAATCCAAATTTATCATGATGCATGCAATTTTTTTGACAAGTTTTGTGAAGATGTTTACAAATCTTGTTATGAAAATTTAGGATTCATAAAAGTTGACAGTCTCAACAAAAGCTTAGATGACAAATTAATTGTGGATTAGATTTATTATACATAGGTTGTTTATATATATGTTTTCTGAAAGAAGTATATAAATAGAATTTATCATAAAAAAATTATATTTTTACATACATTTTTCAAAAAGTTATATTTATAAAAAGTCACATATTTAAAAATCATTAAAAAATATTTTTTTGTAAATTGTTGTATTTGTTGCATTTTTGTCTGCATACTTGCTACAAATTAATATTAAATATTATTTAATAAGTTATAAAAAAAATGTTGTATGGTTTATAACGTTTATAACCTATATTTGTTTTTAAATTTATTATTATAATAATAAAACATTTAAAAATGATTTTTTCTATGTAAATTTAAAAAAAAAACTACTTAATGTTGTTTTCAATTACATGGTAATCTTTATTAGGAGTCACGTAGCGATTTGGATTACATATAACCCCATTGTTTTATGAAAGATCCTTTTTATTTTAAGCTTATAAAAATAAATGATTTTATTAACTTTGCAAATACTTAATAGCCAATGAAAATTTAACTTATTGCATGTTTTATTTTAACAATATTCGTCAAAACATTTACAAAACTTTTTAAGAAGAACGGGTTTCAGGAAAGGTGCTTATCTCAATAGCTTAAATAGAAAATGTATTCCATTTATTTTGTATTGCATAGATTAATTACACTAGTTTACAACAAAATTGACCTATGAATTATAATAGTCATTTTTTATGTAAAATGGTCCACTGAGTCCGAATATTAAATCCAAAGTACAAAAAGTAGAACAGTTTTTGAGTTATTGCGAAATTATCGTTTTTCGTGTGCCTCGAAAAAGTGTTTTCATTATATTCTAAATATCTTTAGTTGCATTCAACCGATTTTCATTTTTTTTACATAAAATTAAACAATATTAAATTACCTATAACTTTTATTTTANTCAAAGTTTTACTTAAAATATACCAATAAAAAATAAATTTATCAACAATATACTCAATAGACATTATACTCTAATACATAACAAAGAAAATGATATATTATTTTGTAATATTGATAAAAAAATTAAGAAGTTATGCGTGTTTGAAAAATTAAACAAATTTCGTAATATCAGAGTTTTTTAATTCGATGCTTTAATTTTGTAAAATATAGAAAAAAATATTGAAAAATTACTCACAATATTACTTTTTAAAACAAAATTTCGATTTTTTAAATAACTTAAGGATATAGTTTTATTGGGATATTTTTTAATTTAGTTAATTTTACAGTTTGGTGGGTTTATGATAAATTTCCGTATTTAAAAAAAATGATAAAATTTTAAAAATATAAAGTAATTTTCTATAGAATTAAGAAAATTGAAATTGTTTTAGCATGGATTTAGAAAATAATTTTATGTATAGTATATTTAATATATAATTAAAAAAATAAATAATTAAGTTTTACAAAAAAGAAAACAATTATAATTTTCGCTATGATATTTTTTGTAATTAGTTGTAGTATGGTAACCAAAGAATAATTTTTATTTAACTGAAAATAGGACGTATTAGTCTTAATATTTCTTTTATATGTTTCAATGCTTTCTCTTATAAGAAACTAACAATAGTCACCCATCAATGCTTCATCTTAAAACCTTTGGTAACGACATTCTATATCATTTGTTTGTTAAAGAAAACATTCACCATGCTCATGGCTTTCATTTCCAAGATTTTCAGGAAAAAAATCTAAGTGAGCATGAAGAAAATGTATTTTTAATGACATGTTCAACCTAATTTCCAATAAAATTAAAAAATATACATGTATTTTTTATTCACAAAATAATTAAATTATAAAATGTACTGTTTACCTATTTTTGAATAGTTTATTAATAAATCGTCTACTATTTCTCTATAATTTAAACTTTTGCAGTTTCCTAAAAAATAATTTACAACCAAACGACACGAGTTCCATACTAAAGCCTCGTCTTTTGATAAAGTAATCACAAAATTGGAGTCATTCATTAGTTTTTTTATTTGTGGTCCTATGAAAATACCTTTTTTGATTTTTGCATCAGACAAATGTGGAAACTCAGTTTTCAAATAAGTAAATGAATTTTCATTTTTATTTAAAACTTTAACAAAATGTTTAAAAAGTCCATGTTTAATATGTAAAGGTAGTAGGATTATTCTATTTTGATTAACCAGAGGATTGAAACTTCAATTTTTAAATACGAAAATTTATCACAACCCCACTAAACTGTAAAATTAACTAAATTCAAAAATATCCCAATAAAACTATAACCTTAAATTATTTAAAAAATCGAAATTTTGTTTTAAAAAGTAATATTGTGAGTAATTTTTCAATATTTTTTTCTATATTTTACAAAATTAAAGCATCGAATTAAAAAACTCTGATATTACGAAATTTGTTTAATTTTTCAAACACGCATAACTTCTTAATTTTTTTATCAATATTACAAAATAATATATCATTTTCTTTGTTATGTATTAGAGTATAATGTCTATTGAGTATATTGTTGGTAAATTTATTTTTTATTGGTATATTTTAAGTAAAACTTTGAATTTTTTTCTGACATTTTGGAAAAAATGATAAAAATTCAGTGGTAAATTCGTAGATATCAAACGAGAAAAAAGTCAGATAAAAAATCGTTTAAGCTAAAAGTTATAGGTAATTTAATATTGTTTAATTTTATATAAAAAAAAAATGAAAATCGGTTGAATGCAATTAAAGATATTTAGAATATAATGAAAACACTTTTTCGCGTCACATGAAAAACGCTAATTTCGCAATAACTCAAAAACTGTTCTACTTTTTGTATTTTGGATTTCATTTTCGGACTCAGTGGACCATTTTACATAAAAAATGACTATTATAAGTCATGGGTCAGAAAATTTTTTTTTTATTTCTACACTATTGTTATTGATTAAGTCTTTATTATATAGTAAAGTTGTTCCATCCAAAAGTTATCAACCAGTACTTACTTAATTATTTCATTGTCTATTTGTCAACAATACATAAGTTGACAAATAGACATATGCGACAAAAAATAAAATTCAAAAATAAATATCGTAATTTTTTCAATTAGCAAAGTAAATAATTAACTAGTTTATTTAATAAAAAAATAAGTAATTAAGAAATCTATTGGCTGATTACAACTTTTGGAGCAGTATATTAAAATTATGACCGAAGGGTGGTGAGTGCGTAATGTAATTTTTTTCACTAGACATTTACTTAATTAGATTATGATTTATTAATAAGCTAGTTAATTATTTACTATCCAATCCTGGCCATTTTCGACAATATTAGTAGAGGTAGTACGGCAGTATATTAGTAATTATATACAGGGTGATTCATTAAAGATAAGACACTCGTTTACTCAGTAACTATTGAAAATTTAAAATTTTTGGTAAGGAAAATATTGTTTGATTCAAAAAACACTACAATAATATGTAGTAAAAACATGATATTTTTCATCCCTTCAAGGTTAAAAAACATTAACTTGAGTTTTTTTAAATGAGAACACATATTTTGAATTTAATAACATTTTTGAGTTTTTAATTTAATAGCAAATGGCATTTGAATTTTTAATATAACTTTATTCGTTTATTAAATATAAACATTTAAAGTTTCAAATTTTTGAGTTAATATACATGTATAATACACTAGGGATTAAAATTACAGGTAGCTAATTGTTTTTTTATGACATTGCTGTCACAGTCACGGATTGTTCATTATCAATTATGACTATCAATAAATATACATTCTGTATTGTCAGTTTGTGTATTTATAAACTCACAACAATATGCCTTACTACCNTTGTGTATTTATAAACTCACAACAATGTGCCTTACTACCATTGATAATAACAATGCTTTGTACCTGCTAATATCGATGTCATTAAAAACCAATTAGCTACCTGTAATTTTAATCCCTAGTGTATTATACATGTATATTAACTCAAAAATTTGAAACTTTAAGTGTTTATATATAATAAACGAATAAAGTTATATTAAAAATTCAAATGCCATTTGCTATTAAATTAAAAACTCAAAAATGTTATTAAATTCAAAATATGTGTTCTCATTTCAAAAAACTCAAGTTAATGTTTTTTAACCTTGAAGGGATGAAAAATATCATGTTTTTACTACATATTATTGTAGTGTTTTTTGAATCAAACAATATTTTCCTTACCAAAAATTTTAAATTTTCAATAGTTACTGAGTAAACGAGTGTCTTATCCTTAATGAATCAACCTGTATACTTTATCTAAAAGAAATACACATTGTCTCAACGGATTCGTTTAACATTCTATTCAAGTAATATGAATTAGTGGTTTTTATCGTATTTTATCAAATTATTAAACAAAAAAAATACACACACACCGAAGTCGGTGTTTCAAGTCGTTTGCGCAAATCGTTGCACACATTACACGACCCATTTCGACGCCGGCTCCGGTTGCCTTTAATAACTTATACTAGACATGAAGTATTAGCCCGTACAAACCGAGTTTCTTGCCAAACAATGTCAAAATGATGTAGTGAGATAAGTCCATCAGCTAATTAGCATATAACAAGATTTTGGTGTGACAATTCGACTCGTTTGTAGCCCGATCGTCGAAGTTATAAAAGGGCAGCTGAGTTTGAGTGGCCTTTATAGCTTTCGATACCATTACTTATTTCTTATATAGTTAATAATTTAACTTATTTTATTTAGCTACTCTTCTATGGCCGACTGTCATCGCAGCCAACCAACTTCATCTTATTTGGAGGATATACCTACTAACTAACTATACTTGATCAGACGAATTGTACACTTCATATATTTTTTATTTACTGAACATTTAAAATACATCTTACATTGCTGGTGACAAAAAACAATAGTTTAAGTTTATTATATAACCTCTAACTAATTAACTATTTCTCCTTCATGTAATTAAAACTCATTTATGGAGATTACGACAACATTTGGGCAGACGTCGGGTAGCTTCCGATTAATAGTTTTGATCGTTCAGTATTAAACAGATATCTAATAGTACCTTTGAGAGCCCGTACCCGATGTTTATATACTATTCATTACTTTTCTGCAATCATTATTTTACAACAATTTTTAGCTTCGATGAGAAGGTATTAGTTTTACTATGATGTATTTTAGCTTCA